TTGTACCTGTCTCGATAAGCATCCGTTTCTCCTCCCTGGGAACAGCCTTTAACACTCAACTACAGGGTAAATATTGAAGTAAAAACAAATCAAAATAACAAGACAACCCCAGCAATCACAAATAATCGGAAAATACAAAGTCAGTCGAGTGAATATATCCCACTTCTAAAAAGCAACATAGATTTGCCTAAAGCTTTACCTTCCTTTTCCTTTTTGCTTTTTCGAGTTTAACTGTAACAAATGCAGAGCAATGCATCACTCTTATTTGAAAACACTTTAAAACACATGTTTTCCACATGGCAAGCTTATAACAGCCTGACTAATTAATCGTTGGGAGAAACTGTAATACATCCTAGATTATAGCTTCTCACTGAAGCCTATTTTCTGGGAATTCAGATGATTATTATCTATTTTGTCTAACATCTATGAGAAATCAAATAAAAATAACAGTTGCTAAAACTTCACTAAGAGATGCAGATTCCTCCTGCCAGGGCTGTGGAATCACAAGGCAACCTCACCTCCCTCTTCAGAAATGTAGGCCATCCAAAAGCAGCTCTGTGCATCTGTTGATAGAACACAATGTCACACTTCTACCACAAGAATTTGTGAGGCCATAAACTGGAAATGTATATTTAATTTCATATGACCAAGGATAACACATTACAAAAGGGATAATTGTATCTGTTTGATATGAACATGAGTTATGATTTTTACCACCTTTCCTTTAGCTAAAGATGAAATTATCTGGTTAGCAAAAACATCAACATACAAAAAGGAAAGCATGGAAATTTCTCACATCCATAAAGATTTCCATTAAGAACACAGTGAGCATTTAGAGAATTGTTTATCAAATAAGAAAGTTAATAATGCAGTGAACCCTCAGGTCATCAGTCATCATAACATCCATAACAGAATACCATATAGAAATTCCTCTTTTTAGTAAACCCCCAACCAAACATTCAACAAATTGATATGATAATAAATGTGATCTTACCTCAGTGTTATAAAACCTAAAATCCCTTTTGTGCTTGACAACTTCTAATTTCTCAATAGGATTGATGGGATTCACAAAATCAATAGGCGGCCCTTCTGTGGAGCATATTAGAAAGCCAATGACGCCACTGCATGGAAAGAGAAATGAAAGTGAAATATGTTTAACAGATTGTCCAGCAAAAAAACAAAACCCAAGGCAAAGTAACCCTCTGGGGTTGAACAAAGGGCTAAGGATGTGAACCACGTGGAAAACACAAGTTCAGATCCCTCCATCAGCATGTTGGTAAACGGCAATCACAATGGACCACGCGTCCCACCTTTGGGTGGCGTATTATCCAGTGCTTGTGGACACTGGACAGAGTAGTTTCTTGGTATGCGTGGCACTAGTAGGGCTAACGGTTCGAATACCCATGCAGCAAAAGTAAATAATCTTTTGATTTAACACCACCACTAGCTTTTATCATAAATAGATGGCAAAACCATATGTTAAGCCCCTGAACGAACCCCAGAATCGCTATTAAGCCCCTAGACTTTAATTGATGCAGTTAAGCCCTTGAACTCTGGGATCGAAGCAATTAAGCCCTTCTTCTTACGCCACTTAACTGCCGTTTGGGATTGCTCGCCTGACTTAACTGCCGTTGAGCACACACTCCGCTTGGCTGCTTCGATGGCAAAATATTGCCATGTCATGCTTACATGG